TGTGATTCAATACTACTATTCATGGATTGAATGCAATTGTCTTTACTTTCAAATGGAGTTATGTATCGATAATCTCACAAATGTTTTGGAAACTAAGAAATCATTGTTTAATGAATTGATGTCTATTTCTGAGTTTAATATATCGTATCATATATTTCGTGAACTCACAGAATGTGTGCAATATTTGCACAAAAATCATATCATGCATAGGAATCTCAAACCGGATAATGTGTTGATTACAAGGACAGGGAGGATAAAGTTATGTGACTTTAATTTGGCTAAAGAAGTCCCAAATTGTGATCCGTTTCTTATGTCTAAAGCCAAACATACGGCAGATGTGGGAAGTGTTGACTATATGGCACCGGAAGCCATGACTAATGGATACAACCATTTAATAGATATCTACAGTCTATCTCTAATTGGGGCTCAAATTTTTGGTTTCGATACTAACGATATAATTGATGGAAAGTATGTTTTAATTTTTATATAACTATTTAATCAAATTGACTATAATTTAATACAAATAATATATTTTGGAGTTTAGGATTAAAACAAACACAAAATATAATAAAGATATGAATGAATGGATGAATAAAATGAATGCATTATTGGTGTCAATGAGTGTTAATAAGTGTCGCAAAAACGGTTCAACAGATTGGAGGCAAAGACCCGAATGTTCGCACATTTTATCACAATTGCAGACATTTATGACAAATAAACCCATTATTGGAGACAAAGAATTTAATTCAGTATTGGATGCTATGGAAAGCAAACCGTTTTGTATAATTCATATGACTGATGGAAATATAACTAATGGTTAGATATTATATTTATATTCTAATATTATTTTAAAGTGCAAACTTGGACAATGTTGTATGTTCCTAGATTCAGCAGACATTAACGCAATTAACAAATCAATGTTTGAAATAACCAGGACACAATTTAGTAGGAAAACCTATTCAATATATGAAGCTAAACATAAAACATCTCAACAAATGTATTCGTTATTCATAAGGAATCTAATATATTACGGTAAGACTTATTGTAATATACTATGTATGCAATGGATATAAATGAATAGTACGTTTCAACACTGCTTTACTGTTAATTAACAATATATATATATATATACATACATAATTAAAGCAGAGTTTAAATAATTTATTACATTTCCATTGTCTGGGTGCACACGCTTGTGAAAACTTTGTTTTATAAATATATTTTCATATTTATTACATATCTCCAGATATTGCAGAAAAGTCGCAAATGAATTATAATTTGCGAAACAACCTTGATGCATTGTGTAAATATGCGATTAAAAACGAGTACAACTCGTGGATAGAAAATTATCGTATATTCATTCAAATGAAATTGTGTTCAGACGATGTGATTAAATTAATTGGCAATGACCTGGACCAATTATAGGGTATATCTTGAACAGTATTATGAACCGTTTAACATTTCATTAACATTTTTAATAAATATATTTATTCATAATTTCCATTTGCCCAGGACTGATCACCACTTAATACACACTTCATTATAAGCTGATGGTAACTATAAATAAGTTTTTAATTATTTTAATTGCATTTTAAAAGTCAATTCAAATCCCGTTATCATTGCAGGCAATGGTCTTTGAGGCGTCCTTTGACTATCAGTTCCGGTATTTGCCATCAATTGTCTCATTTGTCGTAACCATCGCTCCCATCATTACCACTACTGCATCCATACGACGACATACCACTCATTATCCGTGTCTATACATGTTATTCACCCCCTCCCTGTCCACGCCCAATGGTTTTATGAAATTTAATAAAAGTTTATTAAAATAAAGTCTTATTTGTCATCAAAATAATTTTAATATTATTTAAAAATGAATACATTTTATGTATTTTTTTTATTAAAATCAATGCTAATATTGAATCATGTAAAATATTTAGATTTAAACCGGAACCAAAACAAATTAAAACATTACAGCAATTGATACTAAATTAGTTTTATTTTTAGTTTTTAAACACATTTTTCTATACAAATTATATGCAAAATATATTTTACTTACAGTACATGATAGTGTATTATAATTATAATGCAAAATGCAATTTATTTTACAGTTTGAATCTATAATTATTTGTCTAAATATGACATTTTATATATTTTCTACAAATAATGGACATTCAATGTCCGCTATTACTCTATTAAAACACAGAGTGGACAGATATCTTAAATAGTTGACTGTCCTCTCCAATGATGAGTAAGTATATGATGAATAGATGTCAAAATGCACGACCCGTAGCTCCTGTAGCCTATCGTACAGTCTGTGAGCTATCTCTCGTATGACATGTTTGGCGAACGGATGACCAGTTGTGTACAGCACTCGTAATACCGTTCCCGTGTATATGGGAAGATAGGCGCACTCGGCACCGGTAGTGTCCACCGGGCTGTGTGTGTGTCTATGAAACGGCACAACTGTTTCTTTTAGGCCTTCCCTTGTCTTTGTCAACGGGACTGATGGGACACTCGGGTAATGAACTTCTGCGAGGCTTTCCATTGGCTATAGCGGGTCCGACATCTATAGGCACTTTTGCCTGGATCATTAGCTCCTGAAATATTTTCACTACATTTGTGTCGCTTTTGGCCGAACACTCGACGTACCCGTTCTCCCAGTCCAGACATATCACACTTTCCGCCACTTCCTAGCGATTAAAATGACAAAAAATATTTTTTAGAAAATTTTGTTCAAAAAGTTTTTGTTTGAAAAGTTTTTGATAATTACTATGCCTTAACATATTATATCGTACTATAGCTATAAAAGTGTCAACAATTGTGTCACAGAATCTGTACATTGATTTACAATTACTATATGAAATGTGTGTACAGAATATTCTGTATATATTGATATAATGTTGGTAAATATTAATTTATTTTGTTTAATAAATTTAAAAACNCCCGATCCCCATCTGCGTCGTCGGCAATAAAAACGATTTATTAGACGATCGACGAGTCATTAGAAAGGTATTGATTCTTGTGATATATATACAGAATATTCTGTTACTATAGCTATGAATGTATTGAAAGAACTTTTTTTTGTGTTACTTTTGCAGGGATTTTTCAATTCAAAAGAGTCGTTAGCTTTTCGCTGTAAAAGTCATTTATGTCTTAGTTTTTGCACAAAAATCTTTATATTTTTTTTGTTTTCGTTTGTTTTGTGATAAGTATTTTCAATTGAGATCCAAATCAATGTCAGATTCCATACAAAACTCTGGATTGAATTGAAAATAAACTTTCGATTCTTTTATTTCATAGAAATTTTACACTTTTATTGAATTCACGAATAAAAGGAAAAATACATTTATAAATATAATATTACAGTAAAGCTATAAAAATAAAAATAATACCTAAAACCCACAAAAATATTTGTATTATATTACCGGTTACAAAAACACCCACCATAAACTCATTATAGCCCACGGAGTTGTATAGGTTGACAAAAATTGATTTTTTTTGATTGTATTATAATATAATTTTTATATTTTTTTATTATTATTATTTAAATTATCTGGTAATCTAATTAACATTCAATTTTGTGCGGGGATTAGTGCACAGGAACTCATAATAATAAAAGATTTTCAATTAACACTAATGTCTCGTGAATTAAATTAGATTAGCAAGAATATTTTCTATATTCATATTTATAATATTATTACAAAATAATTATGCATTTATCTTGAAGTTTGATGAAAATTTCATTAATTATAATTTGAATAACATTTTCATTATTTTCATTGTCAGCCATAAGGGCAGTCATAATACACAATAGGAAAGTGATATAAAAAATAAAGTCCTATACTATTGGGGATGACAAATAAATATAAACTAAAAGATGTGTTGAAGTGTTGTATCCGAAAGTGGTTTATATATAACTTACGAAAACTTTTTAACTCGAGGGCAGAGAATAATAGCGAAAAGTTTTATACCAATGAATGCCTATTCAGACGTGAGTTTAGGTATTAATACATTTTCGTGTATATAATGAGTAGAGAAATAAATTGTCAGTGAAATTGTTTGTCTATAAAAACATAATTAAAATCTCTAATTCCCTCACAATTAATTACAAAGTTTTTAAATTTATTAAACAAAATAAATTAATATTTACCAACATTATATCAATATATACAGAATATTCTGTACACACATTTCATATAGTAATTGTAAATCAATGTACAGATTCTGTGACACAATTGTTGACACTTTTATAGCTATAGTACGATATAATATGTTAAGGCATAGTAATTATAACAAACTTTTCAAACAAAAACTTTTTGACCAAATTTTTCTAAAAAATATTTTTTGTCATTTTAATCGCTAGGAAGTGGCGGAAAGTGTGATATGTCTGGACTGGGAGAACGGGTACGTCGAGTGTTCGGCCAAAAGCGACACAAATGTAGTGAAAATATTTCAGGAGCTAATGATCCAGGCAAAAGTGCCTATAGATGTCGGACCCGCCATAGCCAATGGAAAGCCTCGCAGAAGTTCATTACCCGAGTGTCCCATCAGTCCCGTCGACAAAGACAAGGGAAGCGGATTTTCTTTGTCAACACGGCAAAGTATCTGTGTGTGTGTCGGGCCACCTGTGATGGCCACGGCTCACGCGGATAGAAGGGTATATGTGCCCTTGCCATAATGCTCACGACATGTGTTGACCAGTCCCGTTCGCCAAACATGTCATACGATAGATAGCTCACAGACTGTACGATAGGCTACAGGAGCTACGGGTCGTGCATTTCGACATCTATTCATCATATACTTACTCATCATTGGAGAGGACAGTCCACTATTTAAGATATCTGTCCACTCTGTGTTTTAATAGAGTAATAGCGGACATTGAATGTCCATTATTTGTAGAAAATATATAAAATGTCATATTTAGACAAATAATTATAGATTAAAACTGTAAAATAAATTGCATTTTACATTATAATCATAATACACTAATACACTATCATGTATTAGTAAGTAAAATATATTTTGCATATAATTTGTATAGAAAAATGTGTTTAAAAACTAAAAATAAAACTAATTTAGTATCAATTGCTGTAATGTTTTAATTTGTTTTAGTTCCGGTTTAAATCTAAATATTTTACATGATTCAATATAAGCATTGATTTTAATAAAAAATACATAAAATGTATTCATTTTTAAATAATATTAAAATTATTTTGATGACAAATAAGACTTTATTTTAATAAACTTTTATTAAATTTCATAAAACCATTGGGTGTGGACAGGGAGGGGGTGTATAACATGTATAGACACGGATAATAAGTGGTATGTCGTCGTATGGATGCAGTAGTGGTGATGATGGGAGCGATGGTCGCGACAAATGAGACAATTGATGGCAAATACCGGAACTGATAGTCAAAGGGCGCCTCAAAGACCATTGCCTGCAATGATAACAGGATTTGAATTGACTTTTAAAATGCAATTAAAATAATTAAAAACTTATTTATAGTTACCATTAGCTTATAATGAAGTGTGTATTAAGTGGTGATCAGTCCTGGGCAAATGGAAATTATGAATAAATATATTTATTAAAAATGTTAATGAAATGTTAAACGGTTCATAATAGTGTTCAAGATATACCCTATAATTGGTCCAGATCATTGCCAATTAAATTAATCACATCGTCTGAACACAATTTCATTTGAATGAATATACGATAACTTTCTATCCACGAGTTGTACTCGTTTTTAATTGCATATTTACACAATGCATCAAGGTTGTTTCGCAAATTATAATTCATTTGCGACTTCTCCGCAATATCTGGAGATATGTAATAAATATGAAAATATATTTATAAAACAAAGTTTTCACAAGCGCGTGCACCCAGACAATGGAAATGTAATAAATTATTTAAACTCTGCTTTAATTATGTATATACAGCATATGACATCTTCTATCTTTAGTCGGGATAACTTGAATAGCTTTTGAACGGATAATCCTATCCTTAATCGGTTTTCACCAAAATGTAGCTGGATAATGTCGAAATCTAGTGGTATGCAATTTGTTGTATAAATCCACCAGGATAACTAAGTAATTTTATTTCAAAGTTAAACCACATTTTGCCATTAAATAACTGATCTTGACTACATTTTTGTGCTCTTTCCAACGCACTATTCAGATTTATTCTAGGACACATAGTTAAAAAGTTAGAAACACATTTTTGGTTAAATCTTAAAACTCAAAATGTCATAAGAAACACAATTTTATTTGAAACAAAATGGTGTTGGAATATCGAAAATAGCAATAGAAATGACCAAGATACTGAGGGTTTAATATTAACCGAGATTTGAGTAAATTACGAAAAAATCAAGAAATATCCCATGTATTTCCAATGGCAAAATGTGGTTTAACTTTGAAATAAAATTACTTAGTTATCCTGGTGGATTTATACAACAAATTGCATACCACTAGATTTCGACATTATCCAGCTACATTTTGGTGAAAACCGATTAAGGATAGGATTATCCGTTCAAAAGCTATTCAAGTTATCCCGACTAAAGATAGAAGATGTCATATGCTGTATATATTGTTAATTACAGTAAAGCAGTGTTGAAAAGTACTATCCATTTATATCCATTGCATACACAGTATATTACAATAAGTCTTACCGTAATATATGAGATTCCTTATGAATAACGAATACATTTGTTGAGATGTTTTATGTTTAGCTTCATATATTGAATAGGTTTTCCTACTAAATTGTGTCCTGATGATTTCAAACATTGATTTGTTAATTGCATTAATGTCTGCTGAATCTAGGAACATACAACATTGTCCAAGTTTGCACTTTAAAATAATATTAGAATATAAATATAATATCTAACCATTAGTTATATTTCCATCAGTCATATGAATTATACAAAACGGTTTGCTTTCCATAAATAGTTTATAAAGAGAAACATTTTTTCTTTCAAACATAGCATCCAATACTGAATTAAATTCTTTGTCTCCAATAATGGGTTTATTTGTCATAAATGTCTGCAATTGTGATAAAATGTGCGAACATTCGGGTCTTTGCCTCCAATCTGTTGAACCGTTTTTGCGATACTTATTAACACTCATTGACACCAATAATGCATTCATTTTATTCATCCATTCATTCATATCTTTATTATATTTTGTGTTTGTTTTAATCCTAAACTCCAAAATATATTATTTGTATTAAATTATAGTCAATTTGATTAAATATTTATATAAAAATTAAAACATACTTTCCGTCAATTATATCGTTAGTATCGAAACCAAAAATTTGAGCCCCAATTAGAGATAGACTGTAGATATCTATTAAATGATTGTATTCATTGCCCATAGCTTCCGGTGCTTGATATGACGGATCCCCGACATCTGCCGTATGTTTGACAGGAGGCATACGATACCAATCAATACTATCGACCTCTTTAGCCGAACTAAAGCCACATAACTTTATTCTTCCATATCTTGTAATCAACACATTATCCGGTTTGAGATTCCTATGCATGATATGATTTTTGTGCAAATATTGCACACATTCTGTGAGTTCACGAAATATATGATACGATATATTAAACTCAGAAATAGTCATCAATTCATTAAACAATGATTTCTTAGTTTCCAAAACATTTGTGAGATTATCGATACAAATTCAATCCATGAATAGTAGTATTGAATCACAAACTTTGACCGAAATTTCACAAGACTTTTCGTTTCATTCAAAACATTTTGTTTCTCTTTTTCTGTCAATCCTTTAGAAAATAAAAATATTATAAAAATGGGTATAAATATTGCAAATATTATTTTAAAAATATTTACCATTTAATAGACATTTCTTTATTGCATAGAATTGATGGTTACATTTATATCGAACTTTATATACCTGTCCATAGCCACCCTCACCAAGCTTATTTATAACATCAAATGACTTTTCAAATGATATTGAATTATTCAACTTATCGTGAGTTTCTATAATAAAACATTATATTAAATCACAATTAAGGCATTATTGTAATATTTACCACCATTTGAAAGTAAAGACAATTGCATTCAATCCATGAATAGTAGTATTTAATCACAAACTCTGACCGAAGTTTCACAAGACTTTGCGTTTCATTCAAAACATTTTGTTTCTGTTTTTCTGTCAATCCTTTAGAAAATAAAAATATTATAAAATGGGTATAAATATTGCAAATATTATTTTAAAAATATTTACCATTTAATAGACATTTCTTTATTGCATAGAATTTATGGTTACATTTATCTCGAACTTTATATACCTGTCCATAGCCACCCTCACCAAGCTTATTTATTACATCAAATGACTTTTCAAATGATATTGAATTATTTAACTTGTCGTGAGTTTCTATAATAAAACATTATATTAAATCACAATTAAGGCATTATTGTAATATTTACCAGAAATTTGTGTATTTTGTTGAATATGTGTTGAAATGGTATTTAAAGTGATTTGCTTTTCATTTAAAAAATAATCATCAAATGATGTATAATTGGTTTCATACAGAATTTTGGTAACAATTTCATATATTTTATCACCAGATTTGCCCACAATTACTGGGTATTTTTGTTTGATTTCATTGAACACAAAATGTGACAATATACCTAAATACTTATTATGAAAGTCATATCGATATAAGTGACCATGGCTAGATAATAAATATGCATATATGGAACTTTGTAGAAGTGCATTATTTATGTTAATTTCAATTTCTAATAGATGTGGTGTTTTTATTATATTACATCCTACCTCTCCCCATATAAGCACCTGTCCCTCACAAGTAATAGCAAGTGATGTACACTCATTGCACTCTATTTTACTAATTTGATATTCAGTGGCAAATTCAATAAGAGTTGGATCTAATAGATAACTTTTATTGCCACAACCAAGTTGTCCCTGTTTATTACTCCCCCACCCAAATACCTGTCCATTTGATGTCAACATAATTGTGTGATGAAAACCACAACTTATTTGTGAAATAATAAAATTGTTTGTTTGGAAATATAATATATTATCCGGTTTATGGATTACATTCACACTCATCTTCACATGTCGTCCCAATTGTCCCTCATCATTGCAACCAAAACTGAATATTACATTATTATCCATATTGACAGCCAATACAAAGCCTCCTCCACTGAAAAACTGATGTATATTTTGATGGCATAATTCTGGCACCGGTTGTGGTGTAGGAATGGGTGTGTTGTGTCCTAACCCGAGCTGACCAAACCTATTAGATCCCAATCCATACACGATATCATCAAATGTCACAAACAGTATGTTATGTCGGGGATAGTCTTCAAAAACATAAAAATATTTAATTTCTTGTTTTAAATGTTGTGGTATTTGATCACAAATTTTATAATTATTAATTACAGTTGACATTTTATTAAATAAAATATTTTTCACAAAAAATAATAATCATGAATATTAATTATAATAATTCAATAATCAATAAACATTTATTTGTATAATAATTATACAAAATGGAGGCAATAGTTATTAATTTTCATACAATTTACTCCACTTTAGTGTATATAACTATAATATCATAACACGTATCATAACTTTATTAAGAAAAACAAATATCGATAACATGATTATTGCTAAGCACGTTATCAGCCAGGTTGTTGAAATTATTAAATAGTCTTAACAATAGCGTAATACAGGGTAGACTTTAATTAAAGATGCCATTTTGATTGTCGTTTATTTGAACACCCTGTATTATTTTTAATTTATTCCTTCACCAAATTATAGAGGAATAGTTAGGGTTTTGTTTGATATATAACATGCCCAGAATATTCTTGTGTGGGCTATTTAAAATAATATTTTTTACCAAAGAGTTAAAAAATTGGTGTTTTCATTAAAACTCGAGTATAACTGACATGTACGATTTTAAATATTAATTAAATTCACTTAGTAACTTATTGTTAAGAAGTTTAGATAGAAATTTAAAAATAATCTTTTCTAAATCTTACTTTATTTTAAGAATATTGATATCAATTATTCCATAATTTGATTCTCAATGTCAAAATTACACTAAATTAACATAATAATTAAATTTTTTCAATTAAAATATTAATTTACAATTTGACTTAAATAAAAATAATTGGTTCAAATTAAGTTCAAAAATCTTTATAAAATTTTCATGTTCGATCTGAAACTAATTTTTTAATGAATATTTTTAAAGAATTGTCTATTATAAATTAAATGTAAGAATATTCTGGGCATGTTATATATCAAACAATTGGGATTGATAAGGAGATATTAAACCACTTCCTTAGTTAATTTTTATTATGTCCCACAAGTTTATTTGGACAATCAAAATGGCATCGTTAATTAAAGTCTACCCTGTACAACACAACACTAATAACGTAGTGTCATCACTATTATAGATAATCAAAACGAACTAGATAAAGTAATTATAATATAATTATAGTTAATATTTTAAATTATAATTTCAAGCAATACATATTTAGTATACACAAATAAGTATGGTGATATTAAATATTTTCAATTATTATTCTAAAAAAATATTCAATTTAAAATTGATCTTTAAAAATAAATTCAATGACTTTTTAAACGCAAACACCGATCCGTCAATAGCTGTGAATAGGTTTCAAACATTTGTTACCAAAACATTCACAACTAATCATACGTTTGATGAATACGTGAATTACGCAACTCGGACCAGACGGACCATTTTAGTGACATTTACCCGGATTATCATATTTCTCGTGGTATTAAGGTATGGCATATCTGCGTTGAATAGTAGCAATGAATTAATAAATTATTTACTATGCGATTCCAACTATATCCTTGGTAATCGACGTTTAATATCGGCTTTGTTATCAATTGTGCTCTTGATCATATTATTTGTGAGTATGACCATTGAATATCAAGAATTACGACAACTATTATATCTAGGCACCTTTTCTGTAATGATAAATACAAACAATTAGACCCAAAATTGAATGCTAAAAATGATCGCAAACTAAATGTGCGATTTAGCATTTTGACTAAATATTACCTTGGTCAACAATTTTATTTTCTAACAGTGATGATATGGATAGTATATTCATTAGTCGCGGCACTGGCTTATTTTGACCCTGATACAGGTTACTCATTATTGGGCGTAATTTTTTGGCAAGTATGTTTTAATGTGACCATGGTACAATTTTCAGGATTGGTATCGTTTGGATTTATTGCTGCATTCATTGCAGTTTTGTATCTCAAGTATAAATACAATGAAGTCTTAGATAATATTAAACAAAACATAAGATTTTGCGTTACTGTTAAACTTATAAAGGACATTGATGAATATAATTTAATATGTGTTTTAGTACATAAAAATGATTTTATGAAACACATGCTTTTAGGCTACTCCTGGTTTAGAAATACTACTATTTCTAACATTTGATAAACAATCGTCTTTAATAACAATGTACTTATTTGGTACTATATTTATTTGTGTATTTGGTATTTCCACCCTGGTTTATATTATGTGTGCATCGCTAAACGCTACTACATTTAAATGTCATTCAATACTGTATTCATATATTTGCGCAAAAAATACGCGAATTTCGTATAAAAATAGACTCTTTAATTACCGTAAATACCTCGCTAACAGCCGGTTTCTGTAACCAAAGATAACAATACTATACAAAGATATGAATAACTATGAGTTCATGCAATATGTCATTTGGTTTATAATGAATCACATTTTGTTATTAAGCTTGTTGCATTAATTATATAAAATCACATTCGTACTAAATAACAGATAATAATGTAAATAAAAATAAAAATAACATTTATGACTGTATTTAATACCATCGTTTATTTCATTATAATAAATATATAGTTTTATTTAATAGCCAATTATAAATAAACTAAGTTTAAGTTATAAATGTTAACACGTAATAAATTATAGTAATTATTTTTATTATTCAATTACTGATAATATATGATTTATTTTTATGATTTCCCTTAAATTCGAGTTGCCTATTTGCGGGGTCATATGGTATAATATAATAATAAATTATTAATAATAATGTTTTTTGTATTTTTAGACACTCTATCGATGACACGCAATCGTATTGGTGTTACGTATAGGGGAGGGATAGGGGGGAAGTGTACATATCATGGGCTGTATACGGCCTCAACTGTTTGGGACAGGGCTAAGGGTTAGTACTAACTGACGTTATTGTTATTACTGCCAGTGATTAGTGAATTGAGTCACTTATCGGCTGTCAATTTAATTTAAATAAAATATTTGTTGTTATTCATTCATTAATGAATGGTCTATGTAGTTTTAGGTTTTTGATTGCATTTCACAATAAGTGGCATATAATGTTCATTAGGTATTACACTTGAATGTCATTAAGATATAAAACACGCAAACTTGTTTACTGATATCATATACACTGCATATTACATTTATGTTATGAATATAGTAATATGTATAATATTATGGAAAGTTGACTTGTACTTTTAATGAATAATACAGTATTTATATTGATTAAGGTTTATTTGGATACCAATAAAAAATAAAGCATTCAATGCTAACTATTTTAAAACATTAAAGTATAGAGCTCCCTTCAACTTTCCATAATACATATAGTGTTTATAAGTGTTTATAAAATTTAATGAATTTTTATTTATAAATTAATATTACAAAAGCAAACAAAATTAATTAAAAACAGTAATTGCAATTATATATTAATTATACCGTAAAATCTAATACAATAGATTAATATTAAAGATGAATTAAAATGGCAAATATGAGACAATATATCCGCAAAATATTGTCTATCAAAACGCGATTCAATGAAATACTTCATGAAAACACCGATCCGTCGATAGCCGTCAATAGATTGCAATCATTTGCGACCAAAACATTGCTAACTATTTATACGACCGATGAATACGCGCATCACGTAAACCACCCTAAAAGGGTCGTGATTGCCATAATTACCCAGGTTATAATTCTTATCACAACAATAAAATTTGCTATATCAGCTCTGAATAAAAATAATACATTATTGGCACATATATTTTGCGACTGGACCTACCTATTGGGTAATCGGCATTTAATATCGGGAGTATTTTGTTTGTGTTGCTTGGTCCTATTGTCCTTACGATTTGTCATACAATACCAGGAACTGGGTCACAAATGGCACTTGTCCAAACTATTCCATAACATTAAACACAAACAATTATCACCTAGATTAAACGCCAAACACAATCGTAAATTAAACAACCGTTTAAGTTTCTTTACTAGATATATCCTGGTGCAATTATTTTTTATAATAGCGTTGACACAAGCAATAATATTTTGCGTGATAGCAATAATAGCTTATTTGGACCCAAACACGGATTCTCCATTATTTTGGGCTATTTTTTGGTTATTTAATGAAATTATAACCACGATATTTATTGCAAGCTTAATCCCGTTTGGATTTACCGCGACATATATTGTCATAACGTATCTGAAGTATAAATTCACTGAAATTAATGATAATATTATATTATATACACGACATGACATGAATGCGCGCGTAATGAAAACCATTGTTGACTTTAATTCCTTTTGTATGCTAACCAACAAGTTTAATGAGTTTATGAAATACCCAATTTTTATCAATTACTATATGATTAGTCCCGCTTTAGAAATGTTACTCTTTCTTATATTTGATAAGCAATCGACTATAACATCAAGAGCTTTGTTTGTCATTTTTTTTATCTTGGTGTTTTCTATAGCATTTAATATAAACATGATGTGTGCGCGGGTTAACACAATTGCCTATAAGTCTCGTTCAATACTGTATTCATATATCTGTGCAAAAAATACACGAATTTCGTATAAAAATAGACTGAAATTAATGGCATTTATGGAGCGATTGTCGGCCAAAGACATTGGTTTCTATTGTTATGATATGTTTCTTATGAATAACTATGAGTTCATGCAATATGTTATCGGGTTTATAATGAATCACATTTTGTTAGTAAGCTTATTAAATTAATTATATTTTGATTATCTTGTTAAAGAATTCAATTATTAATGTATATTTCTGAACTGGCTCATATTTTGTGGCCATTAGCTCATTGGTCAAGCTTATATATGAAGCCTACCCCACTTAATCCAGCATTCATGACAAGTATTGCAGTGAAGTCAATCCTGTTTTGTAGTGAACCTAATCAAGTCTTGCAGTGAAACAAAAAAAATTACCACTAAAATATGAGCATAGTACTTGCACATAACAAACTATATTTCATTTTAACCACCGTAGTCATTT